TAATTTTGTTCCTTTTTTCTTTTCTTTTTTTTTTTTTTGCTACTGAGTTGTATGAGTTCCTCATATATTTTGGATATTTACCCCTTATCAGATATATGGTCTGCAAATATTTCATCCCATTCTGTAGGCTGCCTTTTCATTTTGTTGATAGTTCCTTTTGCTGTGCAGAAGCTTTTTAGTTTGATGTAGTCCTACTATTGATTTTTGCTTTTATTGCTTGTGATGTTGGTGTCATATCCAAAAAGTAATTGCCAAGACCAATGCCAAGGAGCCTTATCCATAGGTTTTCTTCTAGGCGTTTTATGATTTCAGATTTTACATTCAAGTCTTTAATCCATTTCAAATTAATTTTTGTGAGTGATGTAAGAGAAGAGTCCATCTTTATTCTTCTGCATGTGATTATTCCATTTCCCCAAAACTGTTTTTATAGTGACTGTCCTTTCCCAAGGAGTATTCTTCAATTCCTTAGCAAATATTAGTTATTAATTAAGATATCAAGTATTGTCCTGTTCTTGTTTCATAGCTTACTCTTCTTGGGTTATGAATACCACCCTTATTTTCCACGGAGGGTTTTAGGAATACATAGTATATGTATTTTAGTTCTTTCATAATGTTATCTACATTCCTACCAGCATGAGTGAGTTCATTAGTTCACTCTCTTTCATGTCCCAGGACTGACTCATGTGGTGTCCTTTTGTCTGAGAGCTCTGTTTGCAGGGGCGTTTTCCTCTTCACTGGTGGGTGGCTTCCTGGTGGCACATTCTTTAAATCAGATCTTTGGTTAATGGCCCAATGGTCCTGTCTGGTCAGAGACTACGTTCTGGCTACTGGGTGTGAGTGAGTTTCCAGTCATGCAAATGCCCCTGTGTCATTTTCCTGGGGTTAGAACCAGGTGTGTTTCTGGTTCTAACTCTAAGCAAGTTATATTAGTCCCTATTCTTGCACAGAGAGCATGGGCTCCAGCCCTGGTTTCATGCCCAGGGCTCCCAGTGTAACCTGGCACCGCCCTGAGGGAGGTGCACAGGGCTCTTGTTCTCAAGCAGCGCAGGAGCCTTCCCCCAGCTCACAGCTGACCCTACTTCACAGCTGGCCTCACCTCTCTGTGAGTTCTCTGTGGCAGCATCAGCTACAGCTTTCCATTCTATTTGGGGGCTTTTATTTTTCATTTATTTCTGTGTTTGTATTGGGAGGGAGTGGTTTCAGTCTGAGTCACTCGGCCATCTTCACTTAGCAGGTCCGAGTTACTTTTATGATGAACAACAAATCTGCTTTCTAAAACAAACATGTAAACAAGAGCGGGCTCCACAGGCACGTGCTGTATCGCAGTGAGTAAACACACAGGTTCGGGAGTCAGACAGATCTGGGTTTGAATCCGGCCCTGCCACAACCTCGGGAAAATTATATAATCTCCGTGTTCCACTTTCCTCCTCCCACAGTGGGCATATCGCCTGGGCCAGCGTCGTGAGCAAATGAGATAGTGATGCGTAGGGAGCCCCAGCGCACTGTCTGGCACATAGACGCTCCTCCCTCCTCCACTTCCCAGGCCTACCCGGATTAAAACAGTTATCAGAACCAGGCAGAAGAGATCACGCCGGCATTTTAATTACTGGTGGAGTTGTTGGAGAACAATGGGAATATTAGGTAACGGATACCTTTCCAAAAAGTGATGCCTCACATCATCATTAATTCCACTTTCAACAAATTGTGTTATAATATCCATGTCTATAAACAATAGATCCTCACTTATCACCGGTAGGTTCTGTGGCTTTAACGGAAACAACATATAATGTAACCAAATTCACCATAGGCTAATTTATATAAACAAGAGTTAAATTCCCACAGCACCTCGTCAGTGTTATAACAAAACGACCTTATTCGAGCACCTGCCATAATTTATTACCACATACATCATTGCTGCTTCCCCAATAATTCATTGAATAAGAAAAAAAAATGTCAAAATATGTTGGTAGCTTTTGGAAATTTTGTAAAATGAGTTTGCTGTTTGTTTGTGTGGGTTTTATTTCATGGCTGTGGGCGCTGTGAATGGTAGGGACCAGGTAAGACTGGAGGAAAGCATGTCTGGGTGGGACTTACATAATGTTAAGTGTTATGTGACTTTGTGAATTTCTTCCCCTTCCCCTTCCCGCCCCCACCCCCCCGCCCCCACGGGACTGGACTACAGGCCAGAAACAAACTTTTTATTGCAAAACAGGGACCTTCGAGTCACCAGGCCAGCAGATCTGGTCTCTTCCCTGATACTGGGAGTTGTAATCTGGCCCCTACTTGGTCCTCTAGCCCCTACCCCTGTTTCTATTGGGACTTTGAGTAGGACGGTGGGTCAGTGTGTGTTGAGGGGGCAGGAGAGGCTTTCAACATGGTTATATAACCTGTCCGAGGGTCCCCATGTGTCCCAGCTTACTTGGTTGCCAGCTCTGTGTGCATAACTGCACAATGGGGGTATATCCGTATTGGGGAGAATTTGGGGATCAGGGTGCTTGGAAAGGGTCCTTGAAGGCTGAAGGTGCGAAGGCCAGGGTGTGACTGTCTCAGCAGGATGATATCTGGGAGTCAGGACGAGGCCATGTGTGAGCTGGCTGTGTGGCTCAGTGGTTGGGAGAGTGTGCCTGGTGAGTCACGTGCCTGTGTAATGGTGTGGCCCCTCGAGGGCTGAGGACAGTCTCTCTGTGAGGCGACATGGCCCAGGAAGGTGCATGTCCCCTGCCCCAGTCTCCTAGAGACGGTGGTGCTGTTTAAGTGTGATGAGTGGAGAGGACTTGTGGGCCGTGAATACCGTGGCTGTTTTGGTGGCAGCTGAACTCCCACGCACGGGTTGTGAGTCCAGGGGACTTATGTTGTATGCAAGTTGGTGGGTTATCTGGGCATGTGGTTATGATTCCAGAAAGGCTAAGTTTATGTCTATAGAAAGCTTGTGTGGCTGAGCTGCCTTGTGGTTGTGTATGGGTGTGTGGTTCAGTGAGTGTGGCCCTGTGGACGAGTATCTGTGACTGACTCTCAAAAACAACGACATGGGTGTGAATGTGGTTTCCTGTAGACTTATGGCTGTGGACACAGCCATGTCCAGGCCCAAGGTCGAGGCTGCTCCCTCCCAAAACCCTCTCCTTCATTTGTTCCACGCGATGGGGTGGGGTGGAGGTTAGCAGGACCAAACTTGCAGCTGGAAGGTTGGGAGGGTGCTGAAAAGGCTACTGACAGCTGGCTGGAGACTCACGGCACCCCCTGGGCACGGCTCTTCAGGGAGAAGTTGTGAATTTCTTTTCTTAACACAGATAATTAACTTGTAATATTTTATAAAGTAAGACCCAGGCTCAAATTTTGTCCGTTACTTGGTGCCTGTATTAGCCACACACTTAAACATGTACCCATGCTCATAGTTTAGATTTCCATCAGCCGGAACACAACCAGAAAACTCTTTTTAAATAAATAGAAATCATCTCCTCTTTTCTTTTTTGCCATATGCACACACACATGCACACACCCCCCCCCCCCCCCCCCCCCCCCACACACACGATCAAAACCACAAACACATTGTTTTTGTGGTCCCTGCCCTCCCGCCCCCGCCCCCGCCCCCCAGTGATCTGGACCCAGGGTCTCTTTATTCTGTTTAATTGTGATAAAAGCTACAAACATACAATTTACCATTGTTCATTATTTTTTAAATATATATTTTATTGATTTTTTACAGAGAGGAAGGGAGAGGGATAGAGAGTTAGAAACATCAATGAGAGAGAAACATCGATCAGCTGCCTCCTGGACACCCCCTACTAGGGATGAGCCCGCAACCCAGGTACATGCCCTTGACTGGAATCGAACCCAGGACCCTTTAGTCTGCAGGCCGATGCTCTATCCACCGAGCCAAACCGGTTAGGGCCATTTTTCATTACTTTTAAGTGTATAGTTCAGAGGCATTAAGTACGTTCACATTGTTTGTTCAACCATCGCCAACATCCATCTCCAGAAAACTTTAACTAAACTACAGCTTTGGAAGCTATCAATTTTAAGGATCTCTCATTCAAATAGTAACAGCTGAAGAAAGACATGCTGCTCTCAGCTGCTGTGTTTCAGAAGTAATAGTGTCCCCTTTTGAAAAACCTCTTCCTATTTTGTCATTCCTTGCAAATCCCTAGCAATGTTGCTTTATGAAAACAAAATTTAAATGAGAAAACAAATACTTTGTCCCCTGCTGGTGTAGAACAACCAAAGTTTATAACAAGGTGACTATGTTATAGCCCTCCAAGCTCATTAAAACTACATGCTTCCTGCTGTGTTCTGTCTCTGGGACAGGTGTGTAATGAAGATGGATGGTGTGTGACCCTAAGAGCTCCCTTACCAGAGAGTATCCTGGCCAAGTTCTGTTTGTTACATTTTAATGTTATTTGATATGTTCCTTAGCACCATACTTCTTCGCTGTCTACATAACATCAAATGTAGGTCACCTTCCTTCCCCAAGTGCTTGAATCGTTAGATCATTAAGGAAGTTATAATTATTCTGAGATGTCTGAATTTTATTGCTGACTGCATAGATCTCTTCCTGGTATTAAGTGTGAGTATTAAGGCCCTGAAACATAAATCAAATTAAGTTGGTGGGAGTTCTCGTTCCGTCTCCTATACTTTCTAAAAGTTTGGTAATGCTACACAACTATGCCTGGCCATGAGAACATGGTGCCCAGAGCTCCGTTCTCCTTCTGGGGCTTAAGAATATTGTAAAGTGGGAATGCATTGCCCAGGATCCGGAGAAAGGGCATTTGCAAAATCTCTGGCATGAGTGAGCATCCCCCTCCGGGGTGGTCACCAGGCAAAGGGCTGACTTCAGAGGGAGGGAAGAGAGAGACCCCTGGCACGTTTGGGGCAGGCTGGCATGGAGCTGCCTAGCTCCGTGGTGCTCCCTTAAGTCCTCACAGTATTTTTTTTTTAAGTTCTTAGTTTATTAATCCTCTCAGAAAAACTTGCACACTCACCACGGATAAAAGCACTGAAGAGCTTCACTCCTTTTTGCAACCAACATTGGCCTTTGCAGTCCGCCTGCCTTTCTTCATCCTGCTCTTGTGTTCCTTTTGTGGTTTTCTTGAGGCCTTCTCAGACATGCCATGTCCTGCAGGCCCACGTTTAAGTTCATTTTTCCTTGCGTAAGCCAAGGAATCATAAATCATGCCGAAGCCAGTGGTCTTGCCACCGCCAAAATGGGTTCTGAATTCAAACACAAAGATGACATCTGCTGTGATCGCGTACATTTTGGCTAGTTCCCCCCGAATTTCTGCCGTGGGTACTGTTGCCATCCCAAGGTTAAGGACGCCAAAGACCATTTGCTTCCGCTGGAGTAGTCTGTGGGTCATGAGCTTCTTGGTCCAGGGAGTTACAGTGGCGCCCATGATGGTGGCCATACTTCAAGCAGCCCGGGAGGAAAGGACTCTTTTCTGGTTCCCCAGAATAAATCCCGCACGTAAGCCCCACATTTCCCAAACGGTTTGGTCTGGGCCTAGAGACCCCCAAGTCCAAGGCCTTTGACACAACCTGTTGGAGATTCCGTTCTTTTCTGCTTCCTACTCTGTCCCTCTTGCCTCCAGGTTACAAACAAACAGCAGGGGCTTGAAAAAGAGCCAGAGAGCAGGAAGGGGGGCCTTTTGGTTAATACTGCGAAACATTGTCCCTATGGTGATGGGAAGAGAGTGGATTTTTCTCCAATAGGATACAGTCACCCTTGGAAAGCTGATCTGCAGAACAGTGGTCCCTTTCCAGGCTCAGGATAGTCTCCTTAAAAACAAAACAAAACAACAACAACAACAAAAAAAAACTGCAGTAAGAGGATTTGCTATTGAAAAACTTAAGATCTTATGAGAAATATATTATTAGAGCCAGATCACAATCTCAGCTGCACGTTAGAATCGCCTGGGAGAACTTCTAAAATGCCAAGCGCAGGACACCAGGGCCCACCTCTAGCGACTCTGATTTAATTGGCCTGGAGGGGGACCACACGCAGAGCTAGTTTTCAAAGTTTCCTAAGTCTTCAGGGCAGGGCCGGAAGCCCTCAGCTCATAAACAGGACCGGCGCACCCACTAGACTCGGCACAGAGCCCGCACCCACAATTCTTTCAGGGGCCCACAAAAATGTATGATTTATTTTAAAAGTAGAGGGGAAATGCATACTTGGGTGGAAGAGCATGTTTTACTACATATTTACTACATAAATATACATTTATGCTGATGTATTTGTAAAATATAATTTTTAATATATTTGTATGGAGGAAGGAACCACCACACAGAAGCGCCCGGGGCCCACAGAAGTCACCATGCGGTATGAGAGGGACCAGTGTGAGAAGTGTCTCTGGATGTCCCCACTACAATGACTGTTCACTTTAGGAGAGCGCACTGAAGTACATCCGCGATGTCCGCACCTGCATTGGCAGCCACGATGCCCACATTTACTTCCCTTCATCGTGCCTGTTCATGCCAGGTGCTTTGGAGTGGTCTCTACTCAGTCGCAATGAGCTGCCTGGAGGTTTTGCTGTGCTGCCTGTGATGGCCTGCGAGGCGTTTTGAGTGTTTGGTCTTCTAGTTAAAGACCCAGCGCCACCTTTGATTTGGAGCTGCCGATCCGGTTCCTGTGGTTTTCAGAGGCAGCGTGGACTGAAGGCCTCGGAGGAAAGCAGCGTTGGCCCTGAGCGAGAGGCCCCGCCAGATTGGGGCTCTCTGCCTGGCCATGCGGGCCTCTGACGCTCAGCTCGGCTGCCCGGCCCCTCCTGAGGGCAGAGATTCCTAAGGCTGAGTTACATAGCCTGTGCTTTCTTTCCTAACCCGTATCCATAATTTAAAAGTCATTTTCCCCATGTTGGCACAGACTCTGGCATTCTCATGGTGAGGGCAAGGTCTATGGACAACAACCACCGTGTCCTTGAATTTCGCCGAGGGCACTGGGGCTGGGAGGGATTGACGTGAGGGGAGGGAACGTGGGAAGAATCACCCCTGATGCCTTTCGGTTGGCCATCCTGTGCTTCCCCAGCAAAGCTCTGGCTCCCACAGACGCCAGAGCAGTGGAGACTGCTCCCTACCTATTCATAAAGGATTGGGTCTCGGACAAGTTGTGTGGGTTTTCTGAGCCTCAACTTCCTTATCTGTAAGATGGAGATAAGAGCATCAACCTCCCGGGTTGTTTCGAAAATTAAAGCATTGAATGTGGCTCAGTTGGTTGGAGCTTACACCAAAACGCTGCGGTTTGGTTCCTGGTCAGGGCACATGCCTAGGTTGTGGGTTTGATCCCCGGTCGAGGTGCTTACGTGTGGCAGCTGATCAATATTTCTCTGTCTCTCTTTCTCTCCCCTCCTCTCTCTCTGAAAACTCAATAAAAACATGCCCTTGGGCGAAAATTGAAAAAAAAACCCCTACAAACAAAACATTGAATGTGAGGTTCCTCAAATTGCCCACGAAGTTCACATTCCTGCAGTAATTGCTGGCACCTTGACCCTAGGCCTGAAGGCAGAGGGAACCGCCAGTTTGAAGACCTCAACCTGCTCTTGAGTAGACACGTTCCCAAGCCCTAAGTGTTAGGAATATAAATTGTATCCATTTCTGCAAGATAAACTAAATTCTCGTTCTCATTGTTTCACCGAATAGTCCCAGCGTGCTACTTTTGCTTTAGACATATCCAAGAAAAATGTGTTCTGGAAGGAGCAACCCCTCGTCAGAAGGCTCTGGCAGTCCTTCATGAACAAAAATGCAGCATTTAAAACATGGGATCTGGGTGTCAGGTCTCATCCATGATTCCGTTGTTCTGAATACAGTCTGAGAATGTGGCCCTCAAGATGGTTTAGATCATCTATGAGCAAATAATTCAACCCCCCAAATGGTTAATTAATTTGCTACAGAGAAAATATAGCCCCCAGAGTCAAAATTTAAAATTTTTTTTAAAAGGTTTTGTTTTTAATCTTGGAATTTGAGCTATCCTGACTTTGGCCAAAGATGATAGAAAAGGCTTTTATATCCTGGAGTTGTTTCAACATAACGAGGGACGCTTTGGGGATAATATTGAACAAATGCATCTTTGTTGAATTCGTATCCGTTGGTGGTTTGGGGATGACTGAGGAGACAGGGATTGTAAACTTGTGCTGTTTCTAGAAAATTCCTCCGTTGGCCGTTTGGCTGAGCGTTGCCATTTCTCCTCTTATTTTTCAGTCTCCAGACAGACAGGCCAAGCTTCCAGGAAGTCCAGCCTTACTTGCATCCAACTGGCCCACAGAAAGTACATAAAAGCCTTTGACTCTGCTGGATCCCTCCAAAGCTGCCCTTCACTCCTCCCCGGGTTTTAACCTAGTGTGCAGTTGGTACACCTGTGGGGAAGTCTGTGGGCCCTCGTGCCTCACAGCAAATCCTGGGAGGGCAGTATGGAGTCAGTCTCAAGTTTTGATTGCTTTTTTCCCCACTGAGAAACTTCACTCCTCTTTCAACATTTCCAACGACATGATAGGGTTGCCCTATCTATAAAGCGAAGAGAACATAAAGGAAGAGGCCCTGGCTGGGTAGCTCATTTGGTTAGAGCATCCTCCCGATACACCAAGGAGGCAGGTTCAATCCCTAGTCAAGGCACACGCAAGAATCAACCCGTGGATGCATGAATAAGTGGAACAACAAATGGATGTGTCCTCTCTCTCTCTCTCTCTCTTTCACTCTCTCTCTCTCTCAAATCAACAAATAGAAATTTAAAAAAAATAATTAAGTGGTAGTGTCTCTAATTTCCTGTCTCCCACAGAATAAGAATGTTAATGGTACACTTGGCTTCATTACCTTCCCCCACACTAGTCACAAACACATTTGTTTTTCCAAAGGCTACTGAGGACCTTTACATAGTAATTAGGCTCCACCTCTTCCCTGTGAGGTGCATGATTATCACTTCCCTTTCCAGACCCCGGGATCCAGGCCACGGGGAGCTTAGGTTACTAGTCCAAGGCCTTGGGCAAGCCTTTGTTACAACTAAGATAGGTTGAGCCATTCCCTGGCCTGGACATGAGACCGGAGCTCAGAACCTGTTCTCAGTGGCATGTTCTGATGACGCCTGTGTGCACTGATGAGATTGTGTTTGTTCATTCATTCATCAAACATTTACTGACCTCCGGCTCTGTGCTAGTGGCTAGAGGAGCTGCCAGCTGCCATCTGCTGTGGGAGGCAGGGCCTGGGGGAGCCTTAAGCACTGTGAGAGCCCGGGCAATGGACACGTGTAGCTGCCAGGACAGTTCCATGCAAACTCGGCATCGCTTAGTGCTGACAGCTTCCCAGCTCAAGGGAGCACTGCAGTATGGAAGCTGGGGTGGGGAGTGTAACGCCCGGGCCTCCATGCTGGAGCCTTGGGGAACTCCTCCGGCCCTGTCCTGTATGTTGTCATTCCTGGGGAGCGTCCGGCAGCTTCTCCAGAGGCCCCTTTGCACACAGCGGCAATCTCAGTGACACACCCTAATCGTGGCTTCCGTCTTCCCTGTCTCACGCTTCCTGTTCCCTCTCCTGCTTCCAGGGATTCCCCAGCTACATGCGCCACCTGCCCGAGTTCCCTCTCAGGCTCTACCGCCAGGGCAACCCCAACAAGGCAGCCTCTTCCAAAGGCTCCAACCAACAGACCTCTTTCCAGGGGCCCTTCCCATCCCCATACTTCTCCCCAAGCCCACTTCTCCACTTCAACCAGGTAAAGCATGGTACTGTTTTTGGCTTTGTTCACTACCTCCTGGTTCCTGTCTTGTGTGTCTTGACTACACCTTCCCTGAATGCCCTTCTGCTCCATCAGTTACCGGTCGGTGGTCACTGCAGCCTCACAGTGTGGGCCACAGGAAGTGTCCACGGCGCAGCTTCCCCCTGTGGCCCCTGCCGTGTTCTGCACCCTGCGATGGCTTGTATGTCACGGACGCCATAGCATTTCTCTGAGTATTTCTGCATCATGTATTCCATGCACACAAAATCTAGTGGAGAAAAGAGGTGATTTTTTTCTCTACTCTTCCTCCTGAAAATTTCTCTTCTGGCAAGTTGTTGTAATTGACAAAAAATAATAATAAATAAAAAAATCTTCCTACAGGCTCAGTAACAGCAGCCAAGGGAGGAAACTGATATTGAATAAAAATAAAAAAGAAATGTGTTTCAAAATTTTAGAAGCTCTGCCTGGGGTGGGGTGGGGGGGGGGGTGGTGTTTACTTTAGGTCCAGGCTGAAGCAGCTTGCGCATACATTTTGACAATAACTGCAGCAAAAGCAGTTTCTCTGATAAACTAATCTCCCCTCTGCTCTCTTCTTGCCCCCAAAGACTCTCCTTATTTATTTTTTAATATGTTTTTATTGATTTTAGAGAGAGGGATAAATAGAGAGAAACATCAATCAGCTGTTTCCTGCACACCCCACAC